TAGATAGAGATGGTTTTAGATTGCGTAGTGCTTTTTCAACATTGTCTTCTGTAAAATCGATATGTATTAGATCATTGTTGTTATCTGTGGTACAGCTAGGAAATACTGGGCATGATCCATTGCTGTTTACAAATACTGAGCCGAAGAATGTGTTAAAGAGGTTGGCTTTAATGGTGTCGTCGTTGCAGTCTTTACCATCAGGTCCTATCAAGGGTGGGATGGACCTTGAGTCTTTTAGTTTGTTGTTTACAAAAAGTTGTGGTGGTCTCTCATGAATGAAAACACTGAGACGATGTCTTGAAGCCAGATCGGGATGAGAGCAAAGAGCAAACTCTGACACCCTCTTTTATTAGAAGCAATCTTTGTTAACGTAGCAATTTTGTTAGTGTCTTGTCACAAACGCATTACATCACACAAAATGCACTGCTCATTCACATAAGCATACAAAGCTGTAAAGTTTAAGTTTGCTACAATTCTGGGTAAGAAATGGCAACATGCTGACCTTGTTCCTTGCTTCGTATTCCAGTCAACTACCAGAAGGCCCGTTGTCCTTGCACGTACGCAATAATAATTCCCACAGGGAAGAATTTTGGATATGGGATTGATTTAGAGAAATGGCAAAAATTGTGGTCTCAGAATTATAAAATGACTATGTCAACAGCTTATAAAGAAAATTTGTATAAGATGTTTTACAGGTGGCACTTTCCCCCGACAAGAATAGCAAGAATGTTCAAGAATAAATCTGAAAAATGCTGGAAATGTCATCAGATACCTGGCTCATATTACCATATTACCATATGGACTTGCGAGGACGCTAGAAAATATTGGACTAAAATTCGCATGTGGTTGGAAAAAATGACAAAGAAACACATAGATTTGAAACCAGAGATCTTTTTATTGGGAATCTTACCTGATACATATAATAAAGATTTGAAATACCTGATTGTAAATGTATTAACAGCGGCTAGGATTGTATTTGCTAAAAACTGGAAAAATGAGAAAATACCATTGCAGGAAGAAATTATCAAGAAAATATTGGAATGTGCTGAAATGAGTAGATTGACATTTGAAATTAAAGAACAAGAGGATAGACAATTCTATAAAATTTGGGACCTTTTCTATCAATGGTTGGATGATAAAATACAATAATAGAATATTTAGAATTTTAGATAATAATGAATATATAAAGAGATATTTTTTTCCTATTTGATATCATATCTATAAAATGTTTTCAGGATAGATTTGGTATGATTATATGATTTGTTATAAAATAAATTAAGTAAATTATAGTTATCTCGCAAAGTATGAATGAATAAAATCATAGTCAAATGATTGTTTAATAGTGATACTAGGGTATATAATTTCTGCTTGATAATATGAGTTATTATGTAATGTAGCTGTAGTTGAGACTACGAAATGAATGCACAAAAACTGGTAAACCAACCGACACACTGTTTGTATATCTATGAAAGAAAGCTGGATGTTTTTATGTTTTGTTTGTTTTGTCTGTCTTTAAAAACTAATAAAATTGTTTTCAAAAAAAAAAAAGTTAAAATCCTCTTCTTTAATAGATATATTCAATCTCAGAGTCCAGCATATTATTTCAGCCAATATCTTTTGGATTTATTTTCAACAATCCATACTCTTGAATCTTTGTTCAGATGGTTCTATAACAATAATAAAGTTTCTTTTATCTGCTTTTAAGTTCTAAAATCCAAACTCTTGAGAAGACCAGACACTTTTTAAAACGTACTGAAGTTTTCCTGTACCATCAGGTGGCGCTCTTGAGTCTTTTTACCTTTAACTTTCTTTATTGAATATAATATTTATTAAGTTCGCTAATTTTAGTCATTAGCTGTTCTTTTCTTTCCAACACACTCAATTTCAGCATTTAATTATGCCCTTTAAGAGCCCATTATTCAATAGTTATCCAGTTTAATTTCTAAACCTTTCTTGTGTTAAAGTATTTTCCTTTAAATTTTCTCCTCCAAATTAATCCAATCCAAGTTTTATAAGATCCAATTTCTTTCTCACTTTCTCTGGTCGCCGCTTCCACACACTTCCCTCCAAAATAGCCCTTTATTTTAATACCGGGGTACCTCAAAAGCGATGTCCTTTGCCTGGTTCACACTCTGCTCGCTACTTCTCTGCTCCAGCACAGTACTTAGTTTCCCGGAGGGTTCTTTGTCTTCGTGGTGGCCATTTTAGGACCACCGCTATAGCTTGCCTTGGGGAGGATTTTTCTGTCGGGGAGGGGAGTTGTGACTCCCCTTGATCCTCCAGGTGATTTCCCCCTTCTTCACCACCCCACCAGGATGGTTCTGGTCACAATCGGGACCCTCCAGCAAGTGAGCTCGGGCAAAACCGTGCACGATCACGGGTTCCACTCTGACTCCAACGAGGAACAAACCAGTAGTCTACTTTGTTGAACACCTTTGTGATGATTTGGGGCAAGGCACAGAGGCAACACAACTAGCTGATAGTTCAAACTCCCGTTGATTGTTCCAACTTTCCCCCAAACACTCCCACTTTTATGGCAAGTCCCAGAACAAAGCACTCACACACACCTCCAGCAGCCTCTGGCTGCGAGTAGTACAGAAAAATACCGTTAGCACAATTACTTCAAGGCAAGGAGGCCAACAAGGCAAAGGGAACAAAACAGCCACAAGGCAAGGAGACTAGCAATTTTTAGAAGTTGGCAAAGGCACACAAAACTCAATGAGTTCAGCAGGGCTTTGGCGGCAGGCAGGAATCTGCGATCGTGCGCAGTTTCTGCCTGGGCTCGCCACTGGAGTGCCCCGAGCCAGCTGGCTTTGGGGCTAAGCCACCCCGTAGAGGTGGTGAAGACAGGGGAGACCCGGCAGGGTCGAGGGGAGTTGCACCTCTCCTCCTCAGCTGGCTAAACTCCCTTTTCCGAAGGCAGTAAGACCGGCGGTCAGAAATGGCCACCTCAAAGAAGCACTCAGCCGGAAAAGAAAGTGCAGGAGGAAGTTAAGAACTGAAAGTTTTTGGCTGACCGGGACAAAAAGTAACAACTAAGGTACCCTGGAATTTAAATTTTGCAAAAGATACATCGCTCCCAAAGAAGAGTAGGAGCAAGCAGCGAACAAAAGTGAAAAGGGAAATTTTTTTTTTTCTTCACTCTCCTTCCTCACGCTGACAACGAGAAGATCTGAATAAAGAAATCGGAAAAATCCACTTTGGCATTAACAGGTAAACTGGAAATATAATTAAATGCCAAAGGGACAGTAAAGATTTCTGAATATTAAAAAAGCCTCTTTTTGCTATAAGTGGGAAGGGAGAGGAAAAGAATAAGAGCAGGACTTGGAAGGAGGAGACTGCTTGGAATTTAAAAGAATTTAAAGTTAAATCTTAACAAGAGTTCTAAAGGATACATTTCAACTGGAATTTTGTAACTAAATAGTAACCCCAAGAAGAGAAAGTGAAAAAAGAAGAAAGTGTTAAAAGAAACAGCTTGTGTGTATTTGGATTGTTTGGTGACTTTGGGATTTTTGGAAATCATATTTGAATGACTAAAAACAATTGACTGGTTGTTTAAAAAAAACATTCTACAATGGCATCACTTCTGAATGGACTGAATGAACTGGATGAACTGAAAATTGAATTTAAAAAATATAAAGAAGAGGAACAAGAAGGGAAGGGCTCTTTTGGCTCTACTTTTCAATTCTTAGAAATGGTGATTGGTGTTTACAAGAAACAGCAAGAAAAGACTGCGCAACAAGAAGATTGGGATAAAGAAGAAGCCATTTTTAATGAACAAGTAATTCTATCTGGGGAAGAAAGGGGAAAGGGGGGAAAGAGAATGGAGAATTTAAGACCTAAAAAAACAGCCCAAAAAGGGAAAAATAATGTGAAAAGGGGATATAATGTTGGAAAGCAACAGAAAGGGGGAATACAGAAGAGGGAAATGGAGGTGGAGAGACAGGGGGGTAAAAAGAGGAGAGAGAAGAAGAAAGGGAAGAGAAGTTACAAAGGTCTGGAACAAGATGTAAAGAAACAGGATTTATTCAGAGATAATGGGTAAAAATTTAACTGAAAAAGGGATTCTGTAAAGGTACATAAGATTGTATTGTTATATTTGTAATAGAAATAATGTTAGAAAATTGGAAACAACATGTGATTAAAAAGTGGAATAAAATAGTCTGTGTAATTTAGTGAAACTTTTGTGAACAAAATAAATGAAATGAAATAAATGATAGAATTGAATTCGGAAGGAATGGGAACATTTTAACTATTCAATGTTTTATAAAATATAAGTGAAGTGGGAGGGAAGTAATTATGGAAAGTTTATAAGTGTTCCCATAGAAGTATGATACTTATTTGAAAAGTAATGTGTAAAATGTTAAAGATTTAAATGAATATTAATATTAATGATAGAATTGAATTGGTATGGATTGTTGTTTTAATTATGTTATATATTTATAATTTTTTCTTTTTTCAAAATACATTGTGTAGTTTTAGAATGTACCAAGCAGAATCCGAACGGAAGTTATGTATTACATTAAGTGTTATAATTTTAGGGGAAAGATATAAAAGCATCATACTCCAATTAGTGATCACAGGAGAAATTTTGCTTAATGAGAAAAGATAATAGAGCCTGAAACAGGACAGACAAAGAATATAAACATGATGATTTGAATTGAGATGAAATAAATAAAATAAAATTAAGAAAGTCGAAAGAGAG